CGAAAACGGTTCACCGTATAAAAAATTTTTTTAAACAAAATTTGTAGAGAATTTTGTATTCTACAATATTCATAATGAATACAAATAGCAAAAAAACGATTTTTGTGACCTTTGACCTTGAAATTTAATAGTTGCTTACACCCTACCATATGTAGGTTTTCAGACAACTTTCAGGGTGTCAATATACAAGTATCTACAGACTTACAGCTGGGTATCTCGAATTCCGAGATTGTTACCTAATTTAAGCTTAAATGACTGGATTATTATTCGAACAGCCATTTCCACAGTCGAAACATGAAAGTCATTTAATGCGATACTTTAATTTTTATCATATTCTACAACTGCGATATCGTCTGTGGCCTTGTCTCGATCAAATCACGTCATCAAGTATAAAGAATGTTCAAAATGCATGTACAATATTAACTTTTGGTTTCATGCATCCGACTGGATGGCTGAAAATATTTAACAGAAAATGGTTTCAAAATAGCTAACATCGTTTATAACCCCAGAATATAGCAATAACCTCAACAGCTTGTGAAGAAGTTGACATATTGACGTGATACACATGAAAGAACTGATAGAAGTCTCATATCGGAATGAATATTCTATTCCACAGCATAAATCCAAACAGTTTGGGCGATCCTTCTATATTATCAGGCCGTTATTATCTACAATAATATCGAAGAAAATATGAAACAGCTTTCTTTATTGTCTTTCCATTGTAGATTTGAAAAAAAATGCCTGAATAAACAATAAACTTGAAGTCAAGTAACCAAAAATAAAAGTTATTCAGAATATTTCCAGTTTATTTGTTTTTCAACAGTTTCCTGAAAATCATTTTCGAAATGATATTACATTTGTATGTATCTGACTGCCAGAGTGGTCCCAGCAATATTAAAAAATACACAATCAAGTTAGAAGACGCTGCGTTGTTCAGTATTTGTTTGGCAGACATTAATAGCGAACGTTTTCGGTGAATTTGTGAAAATGGAGAAAATTGGTCATCTTTATGTCATGCGAAAGGCCTAAGCCCAACCAACATTTATCTTGTGGTTTGATTCTTGAGGATGTTCGTATATTGCAGATGTTTTGTCCAAACAGACGTGTTCACGCATTCTTATTTCAAAATTTCTACCGGTTTGGCCTGTGCGAATGTTCTGCAGTATATACAAAACCGAAGAACGTACTACTCTATAATTTTCATTTATAAACTAGTGAATAATCTGATTGACTGTCCTGAACTACTCTCCCACTTCAACTTTCATGTTCCACGAATCAATTCTAGAAATGAACTGACTTTTTATCTACCAAATTCTAGAACAAACATATTACTCAAGTCACCAGTTGTTGCAATGAGCAAACTTTACAATCAACTCTGTGAAAATCTCGACATTTATTACGAACCTATTGGTCAAGTTAAGAACCACGTTAAGAAACTTTTACACTCTAGTCAAAATACATGAGCCCAAATTGAAAGTTATTCTACCATGTGAGCTTATTACTACTACTATTAGTGCTGAATTATGTTTTTTTTGTAATACACGTGAACTATATTTTTACTTGTTAGCTCTATATCTCTATATATTTTTTCAATTATTCTCCTAGCTTGCTGCACACAAGTGTTCCACCTAATTTTTTGCTTAACTCTCCTAAATGTTTAATTTATTTTATTTTTTGTTTACTCGCTTCAGGTGTTTCTAGTTGATAAATTAGTATTGTATTCATGTACAGTGCTTTTCAGATAAAAGTATCCACCTTTAATAACTTTTGTATTCTAGCATTATGGCTTATTTAAACTTACTGGAAAAGCCACCCCCTCACCCCTAGCATCATCCCTTTTTTATTAAATTACTTCTCATATTTTTTATGTAAAATTTGGATACTCCTCTTTGAGCTGATTTCAAAAATGTATAATACTTGTAGGTTAAAGTGGTTAGTTTATGAGATAAACAATTTTTCTTTTAATAGCACAAATTTTACTTATTTTTTACTTTCACCTTATTTGCCTGTAATAAAATGGGTTGTNGGTGGCTTTTCCAGTAAGTTTAAATAAGCCATAATGCTTGCCCCTTCCAACATAAATTGACGTGTTTTTGGATTTTTCCTAAATACCAGTATTACAAAAGTTATTGAAGGTGGATACTTTTATCTGAAAAGCACTGTATATGTGTATGTATGTATGTACAAATGTATTTGTATTGTGTGTATATAGGCAGATATAAACTGTAACATGCTTGTTAATAATATCAATAGATGTTGTTATTGGGATTTATTCCTGTTTAGACATTAAACATTTTTTTTTAATTCATGATTCTTGATTTTGCAGGACAAACTGTATTTACTGCAGTCACGTCCGATCACGACCCTGAACACATGGACTGATTTCGAGCTCGATCACGAAATGGATACTCCTCTGGTATCGGAAAAGACAGTATCCACTGTGGGCAATACAAAAGAAGTGATTCCCAGAGCAGCAACAGTGCTATCACAAACGAGCTGCTTACTGTGTATCAATAAGGCCATGCAACTTTATTCACAAAAAAATACCGACCCAATATCACAAATGGGTGTTTTGACATTCCAGCATAACATCATGGTAGATGTCGCACTGGTAAGAGAAATTCAATTATACGAACCATTCGTCCTTTAGTTATTGAAAGTTCTAAAATCTCTTCCACTTTCTCTGTTCACTTTCACATGAAGATCACATTTAACATTATTTACTCCATTTCCTGTTTTTACTGAACACAATTTAGTCTCTTCACAGAAATGTTTCCAAAGAGATACAAATGAGTTCCAAAATTTTGGATCTAGCTGTGTTTGGCCATTCCGTCCTGGATGAAAAAATGAATGAGATGTTCGTAAATAAACTTGGAGTCACCTCTGCTTTGGATGCCATTATGGAGTTTTTCCGAATATTCAATTCTGCCAGAAAAATGAAAGAGACTCTAGCCGAAGCTAAGCAGTTGGTGAACAATTTGAATCTAGATTACAAAGAGAACGAGCCACCTTCGTCAATATTCAGGAGAATTGATGATGCTCTTGAGGATGTTTCCAGAGTATCGATTTGTCACTGTAAAACCACTTCTGTGTCAGTTCTTTATCAAGTGATTGTAATGAATATTCTGTTGGGAAGAGAAAAAGGTAAGAACACTCGTTTTTAACGTGTTTCTCTTTCCTTATTAATAATTTTTGTGTAGTGGTTCAGTTCTAGCTGTGATTTCTGCTACTGCTATCGGTTTGTCAAAGTTGAGGGCACTTTTGATAGCTTGCTTACAAAAAAGAAAGTGCGTTAGAAGCAACAAACAAGAATTCAGGTTTATCTTCATGTCATATGGGTAAATTATGAACAATTGAATCATTTTCGAGAAATGCTTTCATAAAAAAATCCAAGGTATTCTTTACACGCTTTATATTAGCTTCACCTGTATGTATGTATGCATATTTGTTTGCTTGTAACTCCCAAGCTCGGGATCTGAAATTGACAGATTTATCGACATTATTATTGCTTGATCTATTCGCGGGCAGATGGCGCTGTACGTAAAGTCCTTGATAAGTTGTTCAGAAAGTTTTGAACGAAACGGAAGATACGTTTTAAAATCTAATTCGATTATTTGAAAGCAAACCAGAATATGGATTTCAACAATGAAAACGTNAGAGTATAAAAAAGGCAGAGTAGAGTAGTATAGAGTGGACTTGAACAGAATATGATGAAGTAAAATAGGGTCGTGTAGAATACAGGGTGTGACGAAAAGGTAGGTCATATATTCTGGGATCAAAAATAACTAGATTGGATATAACCTACGATAATGAAAATGTGCATACAAGATAAATGACGATTTTTCCAATATTTTTTTGAACTGATTAACATTTTGTAATGAAAATGGATCCACAGCTGTTTTTCGTAAGAGCATCTTTTTTATATAAACCCCTTTAAAAATTATAAGGGGACATTGAACCCCTGGTTGTGACACAATTGGTTTATTGCATAATTTTTGAAATATTTCTGCCATTCATCAATTTTTCGAAAAGCCAGTTTTTATCGAGATGCGGCAAAAATTTTGAGTAACAAAATTTAGGTTAGAATTAACTGCGTATTCAGTTATTTTCAGGTACAAAACATACTGGGTGGGTCCTCAAAAACTTGACATGGAGGTTTTGGGTACTAATCTTACAAATCCGAAAAAACGCTAAGACAAGTCAATTTTTATTGGGGGGTAGACAGTTTTTTCCCCATTTACAGAGACGTCACTTCAACCCCTGAGTAGAGGGGTGAACAACCCTTAGAACATCGTTTGAAACATCTTGGAATTCTCTAAACATTGGTGTACATTTTCTTAAATTTGGACGTATTTAAAAAAAAATCTTTCCGATAACCAACTTTTTCAATATTGTTAATAGCAACAAATTGTTGTATGCCACTGCTCAGTTGAAATGTATTTGGAACCCTTTCATTTGTTTCTTACGCTACTTTTTTGTTAATTTTTCAGTTCTTCTCTGATAAGAGGACTATTGCAATTGAGAAATGGTTAAAAATGCTGTTTCTATTTCTCATTTTCATGTTAAAAGTGATATCTACATTATTACTAGTAGTGAGTACCATAAAGAATTGCTAAAGAAACAATGGTTTACCCAACTGCCGAGAGGGTTGAGTTGATTGAACTGTACTATGGAAATAGACGTTGTGCTGCGAGAGCCGCTGAACTGTTCAATCAATATAATGGGAAAAATATGTTGCGACAGTATGTTTTCGATTTAATTGCAAAATTTCGCGCAACTGGATCTGTAGCGAATAAAAAACGGCAATTCGAACCACCAGTAACAAATGAAGCGACACGAGTGGCCATTCTTGGGCTTGACCATACTTTGAGCACAAGAAAGTTAGCATTTATTTTCGGGGTGTCACGAACTAGCATTCGGCGTATTTCAAAAACCCACAAAATGCATACTTATAAGATTAAATTAACGCAAGAACTGAATGAAGACGATTTCGATCAACGCTTGCAATTTTTCGAGTTAGTTAGTGAAAGAGCGGTGGAAAATTCACATTTTGTTTTCAACATTTGCTTCAGTGATGAATGTTATTTTTTTCTAAATGGCACAGTTAATCGCCATACTTGTCGCTATTAGGCTGATTCAAATCCTCATATTTTTTATGAAGAGCATACTCAACGTCCACAAAAATTAAATGTATGGGCTGGAATTTTTGGTGACCGTATTGTTGGCCCATTGTTTTGAGAAGGCAATTTAACCGCACAAATGTATCTGGAGCTTCTGGAAGAAACTATCAATCCCCTTCTCACTGATATTATCGAAAATGACCACAATTATCGGGAGGACCTGTTAATATTTTAACAAGATGGGGCTCCTCCGCACTATGCTCTGCTCTGTATTTAGATCAGACTTTTCCGGAACACTGGATTGGGAGGCGGGACACTATCGAATGGCCACCACGATCACCAGACCTTTCGTCGTTAGATTTCTTTCTGTGGGGTCATTTGAAAAGCAGAAAACGGTTTTGTAAGAAATAAATCTATTGAGTCAAACTTGTTAACTTACACTCACAAAGCATATGAGGCACTTAAAAACAAATCTCAATTGGATACTATCTATACAGACTTCCAAAAATACTTTCAAATTGTTCAAAAGCTATTTGGAAAACAGAGATTCTCTTGTAAAATATCATGGTTCACATTCAAGAAAATTTGAAGTTACCTCTGGAGTCCCACAGGGATCAAATTTAGGTCCCTTATTTTTTGTTCTTTTTTATAAATGATTTGCCAACAGTGCTGGAATTCTTAGAATGCCTAATGTTTGCTGATGACCTAAAAATGTATAAACAAGTACAAACAGTGAGGGATTGTGTAATGCTTCAAAAAGATCTGAACAAGGTGTGAAAATAAATTATTTTTCAATATTGATAAATGTTCAGTAATGTCGGTTACGCGCAAAAGAGACCTTATTCTCTTCAGTTATGAACTGAATAGGGCCCTCTTGAAAGGAATACAGAAATAAAAGACTTAGGGATTACATATAATAATACATTATGTTAGGGTTTATTATCAGGCAAACTAGAAATTTCAGCAATATACATTCGATCACATTGGTTAGAAGTAAATTGGAATTTGGATCAAATATATGGTTTGGCGACTATAACTCCACATTATATGAATTGGAAAAACTTCAGAATAAATTTTTAAGATATCTTTACTTCAAAAAATATCACGTATGGCCAGACTACCGTTTAGTGAGAACATCTCATTTGAGAGATGAATTCAGGATACTTTCTTTGCAAAATAGGCGCAAAATATGTGTAATATAATTTCTTTAACGGTTTCTTAATAATAAACTTAACTCACCTCATATATTATCGTCAATTAATTTTCACGTTCCAGCCAGAAGGACAAGATCAAATACAATGTTTTATATTCAAAATTTCTACTCCATAGGTGCCCCACTTACAGGTATGTTGCGTCTCGCAAATGAACTGAATGTAATAATTGATATAGATTGGACAGATTCTCTAACAAATTTAAGGAAAACAATCATTATACAGCTAGTGGCAATGTCTTCGTAGGATCATCACACTTATTAATCGACCCCGAAATAAATGAATAAATAAACTCTAAATTCATTATGGTTCGTCCAAATTAAAAAAATATATACACCATTGTTTAGAGAATTCCAAGATCTTTCAAACGATGTACGACTCGCCCCCAGTTTCCTATTAAAATTCCAAGGGTTATTTACCCCTCTGAGTTGAAGTGACGACGCTGTGAATAGGGAAAAAACCATCCCCCTTCCATCGCTGTCTGCGCGTTTTTGCAAGATTAGTACCCAAAACCTCCATGTCAAGTTTTCGATGGCCCACCCTGGATGTATAAATTTACGGTATTTCCTAAAATGCATGTTCAAAATGGATTCCATTTTCCTGAATATATTCGGCACCGTTTTACAAAGGAAAACTGAATTTTTTGAAAATAGCTTTGCACTTTCAATGATTCGATACCTCAGTTGTTGTTCCTCGATTATTTCAACAGAATACACCCCAGAATCAAATGTCAATACGGTTAAGCTCTGGACTTCTGGCTGGCCAAGAAATAGGTGCATCAGCCAGCCCCTTGCAATCCAACGTGCAGGGAACAGACCGAAAATATATTCCCTAAATTCGTTATCAATTACCACATATTATGCCTCATTCCTAAATGTTCTTCTTCCAAGTATTCTGGCGAATACTTGGCGTAAGAACTATAAGTAATTTGCACCATTTGGATTATTTGTAAGGAACACTGGTTCTATTGAATTATTATTCAAAATACCTGCCGAAACATTGACTTTGAGTCTTTCGGCGGTGAGTCATTTTTTTGTGCGTTATGGTGATTCGTAATGCCACATATATTGAAGGGACCTTCATTTTCAAATGAAATATGAATAATGAAATTGATATTTCGATTGTTTTCAATTGAGAACCAGTCGCAAAATACTATTCTTTTGAGAGAATCTTCATCTAGTAATTCTTGGACGGTTGTTAAGTGATAGTAATGAAGCTAGTGTCCTTCAATCTTCTCCAAACCATCATGTGACTAACATGAGAAATCTTTCTCTCTTTTCTCTCTCTCAATTTCACTGTATTCTAAAGAACGCAGCAACGGAATTCAGAAAGCTCTTCCTACATTTGACAAACTGTCAGTTATATCTAACCTATATCGAGTTATTTTTGACCCCAGAATATGTTATGAACTATCTTTCTGTTGCACCCTGTATGGTAGACAAATTTTTTTAACCAGATGCATGTTTATAGCAAGCCACGAAGTGAATTGATCATTGAATGTATGAGCGAATGCACAAGTTTTCAGCAATGTTGAATATTATGAATCAATTTGCAGTTTGAAGTTAATGAAGAATCTTGGGCAGAAAATCCATCGAAGGTCATATCCATGATTCAGGCTAATATAAAACACGAGAGAAACACGAAAAAGGAAAGGATTCTTCCAGTAGATGTTATTAAAAATTTGGCTTCACCAAAAAGTGAAATCACAAGGTAATCCGCGAATAAACTTGTAATTCTATGTATAGTTAAAAAAAATTGTGACAGCCCATACTCGTATGGGAAATTTGATTCCGCTTGAATCAGAATGAACCGGTTTTTTCTTGAGAAAGAACTTCAAGGGATTATTGATAAGTTTATGATTATATTCCATTTTTTGTTTCAGGAAACTTCTCCTAATTCCAATAAAGAAAATGAGAGTTGCAGTAGGTATTCGAGAACAAACGAAATCAGAGATGGTTCGGGCTTTCGACAAAATCCGACAAGCCTACAGACATCTGAGTCAAGAAATGGTATCCCACGGTCTACTTCCATCAAAGGATTTGATATATCATCTAACTCATAAAGAAATCGGTCAAATCATTCACAGTCGAAACCCTGTTTTAATCAACAAGTAAGTTAGTTGGTTCAGTTAAAAATGATCAATACGGTTACACAACCACCACACTCAGGTAGTGGTGGAAGGCGTCCGGATACCACAACGGCACCAATAAACATGCTGATCACCCCAATAGCTTTGAATTGCTCATATTGGTGGTATATTTGTGCCCTTATCGAGCTAAACTAAAGTCCAAAAGGAAGAGATAATATCTTTCGAATGTACCCACACTTCTTTTCGTGGTTCCAATGTAGACCGACCCGCAGCTATAATGGATCCGGTATACCCCGGGTGTTGTTATAGGTCTCTGGGGTCCTTAGCTAACCTTAGACTTTCTCTGATAGCTTTCGTTGGACTTAATATTGATTTCACGTTGGGTTTCCCTGAAATTCTCTCAAACCGGTCTGTTAAATTTTTAACATAGAGAAGGAAACCTCCCTTGACCAGCCTAGCTGGGGTTCTCTCTTCTGGGTCATATGGCCCGCTCTAATTCTCCTCCGCTGTACCCATTCCTTTTGAAAGCATTCTTTAGGTGATTGAGTTCCTTAGGAAGACTATCAATGCGTCGGGCCCTCTCAACCAACGATTTAATTATCCCTTCCTTCTGTTGTGGCTGGTGGTTAGAGTTTTTGATCAGGTATCTGTATCTGTGTGTTGGTTTGTTGTACACTCTGTAGCCCAATGAATCATGTTCTAGAATCCTTTGGGTTTCTCGTTCCATCATGAATTGAATTTTTGGATAGTCCTAGCTATCCGCTAGGATAGCTAGGACTATCCGCTAGGATAGCTAGGACTATACACATAGAAAGAAATTTCTATCAGCTCGGTATATTCCAGCTCCCAATTGTAATAGTCCTCTTATCAGACAAGAACTAAAAAATTAACAAAAAAGTAGCGTAAAAAACAAATGAAAGAGTTCCAAATACATTTCAACTGAGCAGTGGCGTACAACAAATTGTTGCTATTACCAATATTGAAAATGTCAATTATCAGACAAGAACTAAAAAATTAACAAAAAAGTAGCGTAAGAAACAAATGAAAGAGTTCCAAATACATTTCAACTGAGCAGTGGCGTACAACAAATTGTTGCTACTACCAATATTGAAAATGTCAATTATCAGAAAGAACTCTTTCAAATGCGTTCAAATTCAAAAAAATGTACACCATTGTTCAGAGAATTCCAAGATGTTTCAAACGATATGCGACTCGCCCCCTATTCCCTATTAAAATTCCAAGGGTTGTTCACCCTTCTGCTCTGGGGTTCAAGTGACGACGCTGTAAATGGGCTCTCAATAAAAAAGGATCTATCTGAGCGTTTTCTCGGATTTGCAAGATTAGTACCCAAAACATCCATGTCAAGTTTTCGATGGCCCACCCTGTATAAATGAATTAATAATTGTAATCCCACGGTTTTCAAATCGTGGGTTTAGTCCGTGAAGACTTCTTCAACATCTTTCTTTTGATTGCAACCAAAGAACTCAATCGTTAGTTAGAAGGAAAATTTTTGCCATCAGAGGGAATTGAGTTATATTAATTCATGTATATTTTTCAGAGCTATGAAGCGACGTAAGTTATATCAGAAATGGGACAAACTGAAATTTCCAGAGATAATGTTTGGCATTCCATGTCCTGAAGATGTAGTATCCACCCTTCAGATTAACTCTTCGGAAGAAACTTGTAAGGGAACGCCAGTCTGTACAGGTGTTGTGCAAGCCAGAGCTTGTGTCATCAATGGTTTAGATGAAATCCATCAATTGCAAACTGGTATGAAGCATTTAGAAACCTTCTCCATTCGATAATTATTCAGCAAATCACATCTTAGTTTTTGCTAGTGAATAAAATAGAAATAGTGATATGAATCAATTGCAACTTGATTTGATTTTAAGTTAAGATTGAATAGAAGGGGGAGAGTTGCATAGTGAATCCATTTTGAGAAAGGAGTAAAGTGAAAACTCCTCAACTGCTCATACGAAACTAGCTTCCCTTTGGAAATGCAGAACTACAATAGCATCGTCTAGTATTGCTTCTTTTCGAAGACAACGGTGTTTCTTGGCATGCTATGAGGGTTTACTGGCCAAATTTCGATGCTATGGCTTGATTGATCATTCTTGTGTATGGCTCACCAGCTTCCTGAAATAATGTTTCCTGCAAGTGGTCGTCGATGGATATCTCTGCAATACTTTCACTATCAACGCTGGTGTTCCCCAGGGATCTATACTGTGTTTTCGAATTGGTTTGAAATTAACCAGGTTCTATTCAATGCCTCAAAAACCCAGGCGTCGGTTTTCTCCAAAAAGATAAATGTCTCCGAACCGGATATAATGTCAGGTCAGACAATTCTGCTTTCTGCTTCTATAAGTTTGTTGGGGGTTAAAATGGACACCAATATGTCTTGGCACAATCATGTCGCTGGAATTGCAAAGGCTGCTTCACACAATTTTGGAACACTGTTCTGAACCTGAAAACTATACACACCTCAGCAACTTTTGATTCTTCGTAAAACTCAGATCAGATCTTCTTTGGAGTATTGCTATCATGTATGGAGCTCTGCACCCAAACATACCCTAAAGTTGCTGGATTCCATCCAGTAAAGAGCGATCCCCTGATTGGAGACGCGAACATCACGTGCAACTTTGATAGCCTGGAACATCGAAGAAAGGTTGGGAATATGTCTTCTAGATATACTTTCTCGCGAGGTGGTTAAGTGACTTGGCACAATTGATTTCACCAAAAATGGTACATATCAGAAATACGCGACTTACTATGGCTAGTCATCGTTTTAAGATTAAACTCAGTACACCTCGAACTTCACGGTTCAAGAACTCTTCCATCTAGAGATCTACGTTTATGAGGAATAAACCTCCTGAGAATGTTTTTCCAAATGAATTTAATATCCAGCAAATCCAATGAGAATCGCTACATTTGCACAGGCACCGCTTTGAGAGCGCCTTAAGGATTTTCCTATAGTGCTTGTGTTTCGTCAATAAAAAAAAAATCTGCAAAACCACGTATAAGTGAAATTTATTTGAAAACTACTATAAGGGTTGGGGGGGGTTTCTGAAATAGATTCATGTCTATTAATTTATTTCTTTTTAGGGGATATACTAATAACATACAGTACTGACATCGGGTGGTCTCCTTACTTCCCAATGCTTTCAGGGATCGTTACCGAACTGGGTGGCCTCATTTCACATGGTAAGTTTGAATAATATATGTTTTATACAGTTCGTTTTTTAGCTGATCCTACTATCTCGGAAACGGTAAGACCTACAAGGTTGGTTAAATTGGACAAAAATTCTCCATTACGCGGAACAAGAATAATCTCTTTTCAGATCGAGAATATCAGTGGTTGTTTTTGAAATATCCGCCAAAAACTAGAATTGTCGAATTTGGTTTTTTGGGTCTATCGGCTTTATTTTGAATGTTACAAAAACAGCCAGAGGAACTTTCAATACTGTTTCAATACAGTTTGCAATGCGACGTTTCGTTCATTAATCAAATCAAATCAAATCAAAAATATACTTTATTGTCCAAGAATAACAATTCTCATGACAAAGCATACAGTCACCATGATAACATCACAAATATACAGTTAGCAAGGAGATCATAAATACACATAAATTCACACTTACAATAAGCGGACATGATTACATATACAAAAGCAACAAGATTTACACCACTGAGCCAAATAACATTGAACAACAAAACTACGATGTGCCAATTAAATGAATAAAGTAACATGCCGGAAAAACAAAAAGAAAAAATTTTTACATTTTGTACATGAAATTACAAGGACTACCTCTAAATATATAAAGAATTAGGCATACGTTATATGACCGCCGCCAAAGATAGAGATCTCAGCAAAAAGAATCCTGAAAGTATTCTTCCAGGGTATAGTAGGCCCTCCCAACTATGAGCGTTTTTACAGATTTTCTGAACTTGACTTCGCTTTTGATGACACGCAAGGTTAGGGGAAGGTGATTGAAAATTTTCTTGCCCTCAAAAATTAGAGAGTTGCGAATTAAGGTTGAGGAGGGAATTGGAAGCGAGATCAAGTGAGAGGAGCGAGTGTTATAGGTTGACTCAGAAGTAATTATAGCTTGGTATTTCTTGTGCATGAGGCAAGCCATTTCCAAAATGTAGATACAAACCAATGTCAGAACTCCATGTTGCATAAACAAGGGACGACAGGATTCACGGTAATCAGAACTACATAGGTATCTAATTGCCCTTTTTTGGAGAGAGAATACTCTTTGAAATAAATACTGAGCACAAGCGCCCCAGAAGCAGATTCCATAACGAAGATGAGATTCTATTAGTGCGTAGTATACGTTCTTCGCTATACCCAAATTCAACTCATTAGCAACGACACGAACCGCAAAGCAACCTGAAGCTAATCGATTGCATAGTTTTGTAATATGGTTACCAAACTTCAATTTATTATCAATCAGAAGTCCCAGAAATTTATTATCCGTAGAAATGGAGATTTGTTCCTTGTCCAAATAAACATCATCTAAGTCGCCCTTGAATGTTATGATATTTGTTTTGCTTATATTGAAAGCTAGAAGATTGGAATCACACCAATTCTTAACTTTTTCTATATCTATGCTTATGTGGTAGTTAAGCTCTGAAGAGCTTTTGTTGTGCCATAGAATCGATGTATCATCTGCAAAAATAGTAATTTCACCATTGATGTCTAAGTTGGTGAGGTCGTTAATATAAATGAGAAATAGAGTCGGGCCCAAAACTGATCCTTGAGGAACTCCACTCTCAATCACTTGCTTTCCAGACTTACTACCATTAAATGATACAATTTGGCCACGCTCCGATAAGTACGACCTGAGCCAGGACAGTACCGTGCCTCGAAACCCATAAACTTCAAGTTTGCGGAGCAGTATTCCATGATTTACACAGTCGAATGCCTTTGATAAATCACAGAATATCGCCGCCGCAGCCTCTCGTTCATTAGACTTCTTCAACAGTTTTCAATGCGACGTTTCGTTCATTAGACTTCTTCAACAGTTTTTTTAAACTAATCAATACAATTTAGTATATGCCAAATCGTCCATAAAAATCTCTGCCAGAATAGGACTAAGTGGGTTTCCATTATGAGACATTTGCAAGATGAGTAAAACTTTTCATTGAATCGGAAGTAATTCTGTGACAAACACACCATAAGCAAGTCTAATATTTCATTTTTCACTACTGGATTGATAGAGTTTTTGTCCAATACATTCTCCACAAAAGTAATCGTTGCATCAGCTTTTTTTATACAGACCCGTATTGTGATACATAGCTGAGTTTGTTATTACAGTGGTTACAAAAATCAATGAAAAAAACTATAGGTCACTATTCAAAAAAATAAAGTTGATGATGAAATCTAATGAACGAAATGTCGCCACTATATATATAAACTATAACTATATAACTAAACTATATAAACTAGTTTATATCAGATTATAATGAATATAAAACAGTATTAAGAGTTCCTCTGCCTTCAGCTGTAATATCAACAATTTATACTTGAATGGACAAATTCTTGAGAATAAAAACCAATCTGAATTCCTGGGAATCTTCATGGATAACAAATTAACATTTGATCAACATATTTCAGCTTTGAATAAAAAATTAGCATCAGGATGTTATGCACTTCGAATAGTTTCAAATGAACTGAGTTCATCCACAACAAAAATGGTATATACTTCCCTGATTGAGTCCCATCTGAGATATGGTATTGCAGTAAACTTTTTCATTCACAGTTTGTTTTGCAAAAGTGAGCGGTTAGATAATCATGCAAAGTGGAAGTGCGTGGGTCATACAGACCATTATTTTTGAGAGAAAAAATTCTCGCTGTATTTTCATTCTTGAAACTGTTTGCCTGATTTACAAAAAACATAATATGGTTGGAACTCAGGAACATGGAAATTACATAAATCTTCCTGTTCCAAAAACAAGCCAGAAAAAATATTATTTAATTTATGAAAGTACAAAGCTGTATAATCACAAACCTTACGAAATTAAGAAGGAAAAAAGCTATAAAAAGTTCAGAAATCATGTTAAAGATGCCCTTGCAACTAAAGCATACTACATTCTTGATGAATATTACAATGGAATTTTGCTGTGATTTAATATAGGTGTTTTTTTATTGTTTATATTGACACCTATACTTTAAATTATATTTTATACTGGGATATATCTTATTTTATTGCCATGACATGTGAACTTATGTTGAAATCGTGTATATCTGTTATTTACATCTTTTAAAAGGGACTATACAAACTATTTTGTCTACAAGCTTTGTTAAATTTTACTTTCTACTGTTATATTTTATCTATTAGATATGTAAACTTAGTTTTGCTCAAATTGTGTTTCTGGGAATTTGTGTTCTTGAATTGTTTCTTTTATTTTTATTCTTTCAAAAAAATTTCAAGAAAATTGAAGATAAATTTCTTCAAATATCATAAAACTTTTTCATAATGAACAAAATGTCAAAATATGGCAAATAAATTTTAAAACTATAAAGAATTTGAATACCAAATTGAAAAATAAAACGGATGCTACCAAAAAGTCAAATGTGATTTATAACATTCCTTGTAACAATTGTAATTTGGATTATGTTGGAACAACATCTAGAATTCTTAAAGATAGAATAACTTCACATAAAAGTGATATAAAGCTTAATAAGAAATCATGTGCATTAGCGCAGCATTCTATATAAACAGGACATAAACCAAATTACTCTAATATCAAAGTTTTACATACAGAAAAAAATATTTCCAAACGCCTTTTTCTTGAAATGGTTGAAATTAATAAGTATTCTAATTGTATGAATAAGAGAACTGACATTGATAATCTCAGCAGTATATACTGTAACTTACTGAAACTACACCAAAAATCATATTGATAATAATGAAAATTATATCAATCAACTTTCCCTTTAGAGTCAAAGATTATCAAATCATCATGATCCATTGCAAAATGACATTTATGTGAAGGTATGACATTTGTCAAACCAAAATACTCCATTAATGTTTAACTTTTTTTGTCGATTTATATGTTCAATTAATTGTTTTTTACTCATTTTTACTGTATGATTTGTAATTTTATTCATTGGCAAAATAACCCACAACTCAATAAATTATAGGCCCTGAAAAAGCTTCCCACTAGAAGCGAAAGCTTGGCAAAGTAAAGCAGAGTTTTGATTTTTGATTTTTTGACTGAGAGACCCCGTTATTCGATTTTACTGTACATTTTTCCAGTCGCTAAGATTCTCAAAGAGGGCGTAGAGCCAAAAAAACGAAATTTGACACAAATAGTTCTTGGCGAATATTTCAAAACAATAGTATCGATTTGAAAAATGATTATTCTAGTCCTCAAAACAGGAAACTTTTTTCTAATTCAACCGACCTAGTAGGTTTTGCCGTTTCCGAGATAGCAATAGTAAGATCAGCTGAAAGGCAGCCTGTATATATTTTTTTATGTTTTCTTTCTAGGTGCTGTTGTAGCTAGAGAATACGGTTTACCATGCATTGTTGGAGTCAAGAATGTTACAAAATATTTTGAAACTGGCGACATGGTTCTATTAAATGCAAAAACAGGCGAACTTGGACGAATTCAAATGTAAAAGATAATTAGTAGAATTTAAATTATTTGTTCAATTTTATTGATCAAAAGTTTACTATGATTTTATTTGATAAGCAGTATAATATAAAAATAACAATAAAAATTAATTGACGCTCAAGTGGCGCATTTGCTTTCTCAGCTGCAGGAAAACCCGGAAAAACCTGCAGCACCACATGGTCTGAAGATCTNATTCACAAGAACACAGCCGAAAAAGTACAAAAAAAAGCTTTGACGGAAAAAGAAAGCGTTTTTACAAAGACTTATAATCACTTTGCAAACACTTGTGTATCACTATTATGCTTAGTTTAGCTATGTAGCATTGTCTTTTTGCTTTTACTTCATGTTAAAATAATAAAAATAAATCCACATTTCCTCGTTTTTTTGTACTTTTTCAAATAAATCATCCTCATTTTGTAGGCAAACCTTACGTGATAGATAAAAACAAATGTCATTTCTAAAATCAGCGCAAAAAACTACATAACGATCAGTTAAGGAAAGCAAAACAATTTTTTTTTAAGTTTTTTTGCAGACCTGTGTAATCTGTGACCCCCTCCCGTGTCTGCCAATAACTTTGAAATACTTCACCGTTTAAAATTCTCTATAACTCATTTCAGTTCGCAAAATCATTTTTCTTCCCTCTCAACTCACAACCACTTTGTTCTTGTATTCATCTTTCAATAACAATCTGCTTCACCTCTCAGAACGAAGCAAAACCCCATCCATTACGTTTGACACCGCATCTCTCTCTCTATTAATATATCGTATGCAAATATGATGCACGGTACCCCAAGGGGGATCCACCATATGTTCCGCAGGCGTATGATCAATTCATCGTTGCGTGGGTAATGGCATGTCACGGCTGTATACATAATGGCGTCGCCGTCTATATAAACTCCTGTTTGCGTGTCACGGCCAGACAAAATAGGGGGTCGAAATATACCCCACTTCGTGGAAAAGAATACGAAAAGATCCTGAAAGAGTTCATTTAGATAAGTACATTAGGAACTAGGTCGGATCCTAAAATATTCAACACTGTTATTCTTTTTATGCTATCCAAAGTAGACTTCTCGAAAAGACATTTTGACGATTGTGAATGATACACTATCAGTTTCTATGGACAATAGTGCAGAGGAAGATTAAACTTCCTCTTGAAGATGATCACTTGGTGATCTCCAGTAACATTCTTTAACAATGGTTTATTACATTAGCTTTCATATAGCACCCCTGTCGATGATAATACAGGTTTCTAGCTTGATTGAGTACCTGAATTTATAATTCACAATGCGGATGCGCAAATTTGAAAACCGGTGAGTGAACTAAATCGATTTGATCATTTGACAGGTTGCACCCCAATGTTTATGCTTGTGAATTTCCAAGGATTCTTAATAATTGAGTTTGTAACCCTTCCTTGCATAGTGCAAAATTTCCGTATCGTTTAGATTCGGGAACTCGTAGTTGCATGCCAAGGAATGGTTTGAAAATGTCAACCCACATAAACACTATTACACTCCGGAAACTGAAGCTTATAAACTCCAGATTTCTCCAATTTGTCCACCTTAACTTTGGCATTGAAAATGAAATCAGATAACCTGGCATGTGGTCTGGATGCCACTTCCACATTTTTTTTTTCTCAAGAAACCCGCAATTATATCTGTTCTTTCTCCAAAATATGTTACAGTTACCCATTTCTTGATTTCTGGTTGTTTGACCTGAGGGTATATTAATCTGCAAGTGAATTAACGGCTTCGTTTTCTGACTAACTTCTGGATAGTTGAAACTATTATTATGATCTATCTGTGAATTTCACTAGTTCGGACTTCCATTGTCTACTATATAAAATGATTTGGAATCCCTGAAACAACTAAAAAAGAAGAATTGAAAATGAATAGCTGAAAATAACAATTATATTAACCAAAATAAACCAAAATGTGTCCCACATTTTATGTGACAGGCAATATCTGGTTTGTTGAAGGAGATACACAAAAATGTTCCATAATACAAAAGTTTTAGGAGTTCATGAGAGCTATATTTTGATATAATTTTTAAATATACAGGGTGTTTGGTGTAGGTGCTACAGACCAAAATTCCATTTTTTAAAATAGAACGNTTAGTTGTTTCAGGGATTTCAAATCATTTTATATAGTAGACAATGGAAGTCCGAACTAGTGAAATTCATCACGAAACATTGTCAATTACCTTCAAACTAACGATGAACTATATCTGTAATCATATCAATTTTCCTAGCTAGATTGTTAGCAGACTAATGCAGTGAGAATGCTCCTTGCAACATTGAATTGTAGGCTGCTAATTTATGACTGTATGGATGGAAAGAATCGCTTGGCATGGTGATGTCTGTATAGCTAGGTATCATGAAAATAAATATTGTTTTCAGCAGGTTTTCCGGCGCAGGTGGGAGTAAAGTCTAAATAGGTTTTAATGCATTGTCGACCAACTTCCAACCCCAGTCTTTTGGATGTAGCTGATAACCAAGCCACACTTGAACTTGGTAATATACCCGGAAAAGATGTTGATGAGCAGCAACTGAGGTTGGAGGAAGACAAGCTAATTACACCTGTTTCTTATTTTTAGTGTTTTTCAGGAAGCATGCATATCGATACTCACCTAAGCAGGTGGTTTTTTTCGGAGCTTTGTACATAGAAAGAAGAAACTGAATCCCGTTTGGTGATCATTTCTTGTTGAGTCAAATTACTTTTTTTGAAAAGTTCAGCACATTGAACTAAATCTTGTTTTCCAAACATTTTAAAGACTGTTGCTTTACCCCTCCTGTAAAATGCAGACGTCGTATCACAGCCAGTTATTGCGTGTAAAAATACTACATGATTTTAACTCTTTGCAAAAGTAGATAAACTTTGTGACGAATATATTTCGGTTTGACTTTGAGCTTTTCCTAGCTTTAGAAAGAAAATAGTTTTTTCAGGTGGAGTTTGAGCAGTAAGAAGTTCGAGTAAGTCTACATCTCCACCAACAACAATAGTTGTATTTGTCAAATTAAATTGCTCCATAGTTGTTTCAATAATCAGTAGTTCGACATCGTTATTAGCCTGTTTAACCAATATATTTTCGTTAATAAACTTATCCTTCAACATTGAAATGAACCGAGAGTTGTTGTGAGCATTTGCAAGAAATTTCTGTTAACTGGTAGGAACTGTCATAAGTTCATCAAATAGAATATTGGAAGATGAAGATGTTGCTGAAATTCGACGAAGTTGTTCTGCAGCTTTCATATTTCTCTTGCAATCATCATAGCCATCAAATACGACCGTAATTCTGGCACCAAAATGTCTACGCAGATACCGAACGTATTTATCTAAAATAATGCTAAATGTTTCTTCACTATCCCATACAACACATGTATGTCGTATTATAGTATTGTTAATTTCAATATTGACCTGAAAAATTGAACAGGGAGACAGATGTTGGCTCAAGGTTACACTAGCGTACAAATTAAGGGACTGGATTCCATTCTACCTGATATTCTTATATTTATACTTATGTATACCAATAGAAAAATATGTTTACTTAAATTACAACTTCAGAGATGTATATACGTGGCATACTTATGCATTTAATGAAGATTACAACTTTTACAACTCGTCGTATCTCAGAAACGGTGGCTCTAAGAAAAAAAGTATTGATACATTTTTTGTAGAGAATTTTATGATCTACAATTTTTATCCGAGGTTATTTTATGATAAAACTTACCGTTTTCCTGAAAATCGCGAGAAAACAATTTGTTTCAAGATTTTTGACCTTTGATCTCGAATACATTTTTTTCCAGGCATCGCAATCATTCGGAATTTTAAAATCATATTTTTAACTATGTTTTGAACAATTACACGTGTTTGCAGCTTGTTGTGAATTTATGTACCTTCACTCTTATTTTTAAGTCTAATTTGACCGGACTAACTAATCCTACTAATATTATAAATGCGTAAAGTTTGTGAGGATGGATGAATGTAATGTATGTAATAACGTTTTTTACCCTTTCACGCCTAAACAGCTCAACGAATTCGAATGTAAGTTAGTATATATATAGATCATGACCTGGAATAACACATAGGGTAGGTTTCCACGGTAATGCGGGTAAAACAGGGGAGAACATCTTCAAGAGGAAGATCAAAACTTAAAGATGAGGTGTTGGGAAAAACTCCTGTAATATTTGTTTACTTATAACTTACAGTTGATAATACTCTTTAACTTTCATTGTAACAGAAACCTAATTTAATGTGTTTTTATGTTTGAAACGTATTTTTATCTTATGTTCATGCAATATATGCTGCACTGATGATGTTGAATTGAATTCTAGTTAATTTTCAACAACATTTTTTTAAATTTTATTTTCTAGTTGGTTATTATTGTTAGATGCCATATGTTTCATTTCTCAGTATGTATTAAAATTCATGTTCCAAAGATTAGTTGAAATTTAATTTATTGAATTCTATTAAATTTGGTAAACATTCTTGACTTATATTATTCTGATATGAAACAACTCCTTGAAAAAATGATTCAGGTCCATGTACACATTCCTCAGTGAGATATNAAAAAAAGTACATGTGAACTAGACTAAAAAGGCAGCTGTAGCTACCTACGTGGAATTTTCAATTCGTAAATGGTAACAATAGGAATGCTCTGATATATAAATCGAAGAGAAAGATTTATGGGACATACTTTGCTTTTATTTCAGTGCTATGCTTGATAAAACTTTCCCTGTGATACATAACACTTAACTTTCAAATTAACATAAAGGCAAAAGTGAAACATGTCCATTGTGAAATGACAATGAAATATATGAAAATATATTGTTATAATACATTGTAAAAATACAGTGAAAATGTAAATATACAATGTGAAAACACATTATTAATAAGGTGAATATTACATAAGTTCTGCAAAATTGCGTTACCTATCACAGAATTTTGAGTCTCTTTTGAGGAAATTTACTCAAAATATTATTTAAAATCACATTACTCATGCAGAATTATTCCAATTCATATTTTACTGTTTCATTAGTAGTTATGGGAAAACACATAAGTTCTCGTGTTATTCTCCATCAAATCAACGGTTTTTGTTCTACATAATTTATAATGGACTGTCT